TTGCGAGGAAACGGGTCGTCCAACAGACAAAACGTCCCGAATGTTCCGTAACGTTTTGCCTATTGAACGCAGGGCAGAGCTGACCTCTATAAAATCCGGAAATTCAGTGTTATATGTTAGTCACAAGTTGTAACATTAATTTTGTCACCTCAGTTATAGCTTGGAACCTACCTGACTAATATAGGCATTCATTTGAAACGCAAAGTAAGGAAAGGTCATCTACGATAGGCATCCACTAGAAATGCCAAGTAGAATGAAGATCATCTACAATAGGCATCTACTAGAAATGCCAAGTAGAATGAAGATCATCTACACAGGCATCCACTAGAAATGCCAAGTAGAATGAAGATCAGCTACATCATGCACAACTACAAATGCCAAGTAGAATGAAGATCAGCTACGATAGCCATCCACAAGAAATGCCAAGTAGAATGAAGATCATCTACGATAGGCATCCACTACAAATGTCAAGTAGAATGAAGATCAATTACGTTAGGCATCCGATAGAAATGTCAAGTAGAATGAAGATCATCTACAATAGACATCCACTAGAAATGTCAAGTAGAATGAAGATCAGCTACTACATGCACAACTAGAAATGCCAAGTAGAATGAAGATCAGCTACGATAGCCATCCACAAGAAATGCCAAGTAGAATGAAGATCATCTACGATAGGCATCCACTACAAATGTCAAAGTAGAATGAAGATCATCTACGATAGGCATCTACTAGAAATGCCAAGTAGAATGAAGATCATCTACAATAGGCATAACTAGAAATGCCAAGTAGAATGAAGATCATTCACGATAGGCATACACTAGAAATGTCAAGTAGAATGAAGATCATCTACAATAGGCATACACTAGAAATGCCAAGTAGAATGAAGATCAGCTACAAGATGCACATCTAGGAATGCCAAGTAGAATGAAGATCATGTCCGATAGGCATCCACAAGAAATGCCAAGTAGAATGAAGATCATCTACAATAGGCATCCACTAGAAATGCCAAGTAGAATGAAGATCATCTACGATAGGCATCCACTAAAATGTCAAGTAGACTGAACATCATCTACAATAGGCATCCACTAGAAATGCCAAGTAGAATGAAGATCATCTACAATAGGCACCCACTAGAAATGCCAACCAGAATGAAGATCAGCTACAAGATGCACAAATAGAAATGCCAAGTAGAATGAAGATCATCTACAATAGGCATCTACTAGAATGTCAAGTAGAATGAAGATCATCTACAATAGGCATCCACTAGAAATGCCAAGTAGAATGAAGATCAGCTACATCATGCACACCTAGAAATGCCCAAGTAGAATGAAGATCATTTACGATAGGCATCCACTAGAAATGCTCAGTAGAATGAAGATCATCTACAATAGCCATCCACTAGAAATGTCAAGTAGAATGAACATCATCTACGATAGGCATCCACTAGAAATGTCAAGTAGAATGAAGATCAGCTACAACATGCACAACTAGAAATGCCAAGTATAAGGATGAAGATCATCTACAATAGGCATCTATTAGAAATGTCAAGTATAATGAAGATCATCTACGATAGGCATCCATTAGAAATGCCAAGTATAATGAAGATCATCTACGATAGGCATCCACTAGCAATACCAAGTATAATGAAGATCATCTACGATGCACCATTACAAATGCCAAGTATAATGAAGATCATTTACGATAGGCATCCGATAGAAATGTCAAGTAGAATGAAGATCATCTACAATAGGCATCCACTAGCAAACCAAGTAGAAGGAAGATCATCTACAATAGGCATCTACTAGAAATGTCAAGTAGAATGAAGATCATCTACGATAGGCGCAACTATTAGCAATACCAAGTATAATGAAGATCATCTACGATAGGCATCCATTAGCAATACCAAGTATAAGGAAGATCATCTACAATAGGCATCCATTAGCAATGCCAAGTATAAGGAAGATCATCTACGATAGGCATCCATTAGCAAATACCAAGTATAAGGAAGATCATCTACGATAGGCATCCATTAGCAATACCAAGTATAAGGAAGATCATCTACGATAGGCATCCATTAGCAATGCCAAGTATAAGGAAGATCATCTACGATAGGCATCCATTAGCAATATCAAGTATAAGGAAGATCATCTACGATAGGCATCCATTAGCAATACCAAGTATAAGGAAGATCATCTACGATAGGCATCCATTAGCAATACCAAGTATAAGGAAGATCATCTACGATAGGCATCCATTAGCAATACCAAGTATAAGGAAGATCATCTACGATAGGCATCCATTAGCAATACCAAGTATAAGGAAGATCATCTACGATAGGCATCCATTAGCAAATGCCAAGTATAATGAAGATCATCTACGATAGGCATCCATTAGCAAATGTCAAGTATAAGGAAGATCATCTACGATAGGCATCCATTAGCAATATCAAGTATAAGGAAGATCATCTACGATAGGCATCCATTAGCAATACCAAGTATAAGGAAGATCATCTACGATAGGCATCCATTAGCAATATCAAGTATAAGGAAGATCATCTACGATAGGCGCCCATTAGCAATGCCAAGTATAAGGAAGATCATCTACGATAGGCATCCATTAGCAATACCAAGTATAAGGAAGATCATCTACGATAGGCATCCATTAGCAATACCAAGTATAAGGAAGATCATCTACGATAGGCATCCATTAGCAATGCCAAGTATAAGGAAGATCATCTACGATAGGCATCCATTAGCAATACCAAGTATAAGGAAGATCATCTACGATAGGCATCCATTAGCAATACCATAAGGAAGATCATCTACGATAGGATTAGAATACATCATCTACGATAGGCATCCATTAGCAATACCAAGTATAAGGAAGATCATCTACGATAGGCATCCATTAGCAATACCAAGTATAAGGAAGATCATCTACGATAGGCATCCATTAGCAATACCAAGTATAAGGAAGATCATCTACGATAGGCGCCCATTAGCAATACCAAGTATAAGGAAGATCATCTACGATAGGCATCCATTAGCAATACCAAGTATAAGGAAGATCATCTACGATAGGCATCCATTAGCAATACCAAGTATAAGGAAGATCATCTACGATAGGCATCCATTAGCAATGCCAAGTATAAGGAAGATCATCTACGATAGGCATCCATTAGAACATCTACGATAGCCAAGTAGAAGGAAGATTATTATAGGATATTTATATAGCGCACATATCCACGCCACTTGTACATGCTCAAGGCGCTGATATTTTTCCCCTCGATCATTGGATGTCAATCTCAACGGCACATCGTATTATCAATCTCAACTCCACGGGGATCATACAACTCTCAGCCATTAAGCGCACCGAGTTATTGCGGCTTTCTTATCCTTGCGAGGTACCCATTGACATCTAGGTGGACTTGGACACATAGTGACAGTACTTTGTCCAAGGTTACTGCATTTTCTGTACCCGCCACTAGGTGTTTGCACGTATTCATGTGACCACCATGTGGTCATATACCAACGGATTCGTGTTTTTAACTGCACAGGGTTGTGTACTGTATACTAGGGCTGAATGGGTCGTTGTCGGCACGGGTACTACAGATGTGTACCCCAGGTACGTTTCTGTATACAGAAATGTACCCTAGGAAAAATCAGAATACAGAAACGTACCCTTGGACGATTCCATTCTACATTTCTTGATCGGAACTGTCATGTTGTTGTATTAGATGCATTTGATTGCGTTGTATAAGAGCATACACAGTAACGAGTATTTCACGGTGCACAACGTACACCACTCGCAATCAGCTGAACGGGAATAACTACATACGGTTTCGGTTTTGGGTTGCGGAGTATGGACTAGTCCGTCGTTTAGGGTACCGGGTACGTTTCTGTAGTTTGTTTAGGGTACATGTCTGTATACAGAAATGTACCTGGGGTATCTGTAGTACCTGTGCCGACAACGACCCCTTCAGCTATACTAGGGGTTGTCACAACACTGATAGAGTCTGCATACAAAACTGACAAGGATTTTACACCCGGACACAGGTGGGCTCGATCCGGACACCTCAAGCTCGCTGGATCACTAGCCTGCCGCCTTAGCTAGCTCGCCCACCACGCCCTACAGAAACCTCAAGATATGTCTGTAATGGGAAGGTAAAACTGTAAATATTGCAGTTTGGACGTTTAGCAATCACATTAAAATGAAAAAACATAATCGCTTGGTCTGTGTAAAGCAAATCTAGCTCACCGCTAGCAAACAAAGCTGGAGCACCTTACTGGGGACAGGTTCAGGAAGCGTATTTACCGCAACAAATACCGAAACATGATAGTATCTTAACAGTAAAGTGTAATTATGCCAATTTCACTTTTCTACGGTTCTGTAACCATTTCTCGAAAAAGTTCGAGCTTTCTGTTTCACACTCAAGCAGCACCTGTATATATTGAATTAACAAAATATATTTTACATAAACAGTAAACGTTGTTTGTAAGAAACACCTTTATAACTGACGGATATAACAAACTACATTGAGGTTCCTGGCAGATATTACATTTCTTATAATTAGTCGCGTATGATGTAATGCGTATGGTGACCTACAGGTATAATGACCGAATTATGGTCCGGTTTAACCTATTTTACTGTATAAACGCTCGTCCTATATACTTGTTGTATTATTTGGTGGTAGGTGCAGGTGCCACGATTTTACAATCTGCTGCGACTCTGCGTGGTGGAGAGTCGTATTACATACTAACATAAGCATGTGGCACATCCATGGCACAATCATGTGGTTCGTCCTGTATACGTTCTGATTCAATCATTTGTGCAAACTACTTTCCAAATAATATATTCGACGTTTGACCATTACAAAACACAGCCATTGATAGAAGTAACGACTGTCGTTATCTCCAACAGGACGCTCCTATCACGTGATCCAAGATAAGTGAACGGACAGCTGCCAATGCTGATAATAATGCCAATTAAAGTCATAACGAGTCCACGGTAGAATGTACGTGGCGGTTGTATTTTTGTGTGTGATGCTGGCGGGATCTCTGTCGGGACTAATCCTGCCAATGACAAATTCAGATGGTTCTGCAGACATGCCCAGTCTTTTGAATCATGTGTCACTGCTTGAGCAAACTTTGACAAGTCTTCAAACAACAACCTCACAAGTCCAGTCTGAACTGCATGCCACAAAGAAAGATCTCCAGGCCACGCAGTCACAGCTTCAGACTACCATGAACGACTTACACACAACTCGAACACAACTACAGTCGAGCGAAACACGACAACAGTTGGCAGCTGCTGAAATATCATCTTTGAAACACGAAGTTTCATCACTGAAGGCAGAGCTTCGTTCAACATCGGATGAACTCATCATGGTCAAGACACAAGTGGAGGATATGACACATGGTTATCAGCATGATAGTGTTCATCATAATCAAACACTTCTGGATGCCATCAGTCACGATGTGAACTTGAACACGGCACAGGTAAAAGCGGTAATGTCTGATGTCAAGCAGTTAAACAAACAACTAAATCTTGTGAACTCGACTGTGTACGACGTAAAGACAGAAGGACATGGTTTCTATCAAAATATGTCTTCCTGGGTGCAAACATTCACAGAGAAACAGTCGGAAGAAAGCATGAAACTCCAAGCCGCCAAATTGCTAGCTCATACTGCATCTAAACATATCGATAAGCTTGAGGACGATATGAAGTCATCCTATTCCAACATGTCCCTTGTCAGGCTGGATATACATTCAATCTGGAGGGATCTTCACTTAGCACAGAGTAACCTCAGTCTGGCCATCTTCGATGTTTTAACTTTGAAAAACAACTTATCTGTGGTTGAGAAGCAGTCCATGGAAAACAAACTATCACTATTGAAGGTTTTACAAGGTGAGCTCTTGTTCAGGATAAATTCGGTAAAAACGCGTGTGCATCCATTTACATTACCAGGAGGGTAGCCCTAGAAATTATTATCTCTAATCGTAGCCAATGTGTTAATAATGGGCTTAAAAAGTTCGTAGGGATACGAACGTTTCGAGAATAGCTAGGCAGATCTTCTTCAATAGGATATCTAAACTGGAACCATTCATAATCTACCATCTTAGATTCAGTGGATGGTCAGTGCTCGTTTCTAATTACTACTCTTAAACGATTTTTTATAACCGAAGTCAAAAAGGTATTGTGACACACAAACAACAACCAGAATTGGTGAAAAACGTTTAGTGACGAAAATGAAATGTTATTACATGAAAAGACAAATATTTCAATGTACGGTATCGATCAATAGTCCATAATAAAAGTGCATTTGGCATATGCAAATGGGCCGCAACACAACAGGGTGTTCACAAGCAAGTCCCATCTAGAGTAGCGTGTGTCTACCTTGTGCATGTATGCAGGCCCGCCTCACCGAGGTCACTAAACGTTGATGAATGTCTTGGAGAAGATCACCCCATATCAGGGAAGGGCTTACAATTGCATGCCTCAATTTCGGTTAACAATACCAGATAGATTCTGTTCAAAGGCAAGTAGATGTGCATAAGATTGACAATGTTCCCATAATATTACGGAAAACATAGTGTTCCATTGATGATCGTACGTTTATCTGTTTTGTGTCCTGTTAGCATACTTCAGAAGGGGTAATTTAGTCGACATTTTAGCTTCAGAAGTGTTACCGAACACACGATGTGCCGTACGCATAATGATCATGCTCTCAGGAATATATTTATGACCATATTCTGTTATGAGAAAGAACATTATTTCTGTTTCCTTAATTATGTCAACCCTTATTGGCTATAAGGTCATAGAGTATGACATATTGTATCCCTTCTTAAAAAGAAAAATGAAGGTTACTTTCTGGTTTCATGGTTAACTGGTTGGTCTTGTAAGCATTTTAGGGGCGGTTGGGTAGCCTAGTGGTTAAAGCGTTGGCTCGTCACGCCGAAGACCCGGGTTCGAATCCCCACATGGGTACAATGTGTGAAGCCCATTTCTGGTGTCCCCCGCCGTGATGTTGCTGGAATATTGCTAAAAGCGGCGTAAAACCAAACTCAGTCAGTCAGTGTAAGCATTTTAGGGGCGGTGGGGTAGCCAAGTGGTTAAAGCGTTCGCTCGTCACGCCGAAGACCCGGGTTCGAATCCCCACAAGGGTACAATGCGGAAGCCCATTTCTGGTGTTCCCCGCCGTGATGTTGCTGGAATATTGCTAAAAGCGGCGTAAAACCAAACTCAGTCAGTCAGTGTAAGCATTTTAAATGTTCAATTCCAATCCAATGCTTTTGAACAATTTGCCGAACTGACTGTCTTGACTGTAAGTTTTTATAACATTTTCATACGTCCGGGGTAAAGAAATGTCTTGATATTTATAAACTACACTGATACATTCCACTTGCTGAATGGTAATCTACTTATTTTGTGATCTAATTGTTGTTGGGTTTTTTGCGTTAATCTACAGAAGTAAAGACCAGAAATGTGGCATTCAATGTGAACTACCCTTCAAGTCCATCATCCGAAAACACGCCATTGATATTCAGCACCATCCTCTACAACGAAGGCTCTGGCTACAGCACCAGCACGGGAACGTTCACTGCTCCAGTCTCTGGAACCTACGTCTTCTGGACACATCTGGCACTGACGCATGCAAACACTAACATGTCCTTCGACATCATCAAGTCAGGAGGAGTGATCATGGCCAACGGCTACACGGAGACGGACTCGAGCATTGATGAAACTGATGCTTCTGCCATTACGGTAACTCATCTGGACAAGGGGGAGGAAACGTGGGTGCAGATGGCCTTCTCACGTGATATCTACCCAAGTTCATCATATTTCGGTGGCGCTCTGCTATCGGAGGACTGAGTACTGAGTTCCATCATGCACTGACAGGGACACCATAAGTGGCATTGTGATCATCCCAATCATACACGACACCAACGACAAGCAATACGTATATCTCTTTCCCCACTAGCAATCTGGTTAATAGTGAGTGAATGAGTGGGTTTAGTTTTACGCCGCTTTCAGAAATATTCCAGCAATATCGCGGCGGGGGACACCACAACTGGGCTTCATACATTGTACCCATGGAATCGAACCCGGGTATTTGGCGTGACGAGCGAACGCTTTAACCACTACGCTACCCAACCCCAAATCTTTTTAATGCTTAGATGCATTGAGTATATGGGTATTTTCAGGTGACATTAGAAGAATAGCGACATATCCCTTTCCATAATGTTTTGAAATGTCTGCTGAAAGAAGAGCGATTTGCTCGATTTCGATTTTGTTATAAGAAATCGTTTATGAACCTTATCGGAAACATATTGTACAAATGGGGCATTATTTTGAGTATTGGAAACTGATGGGTTAAATGCGGAACTATCGTCACTGTTGAAAAACATCCTGAAAGCTTTCCTATAACTTTGAATGATATATTTTTGATGCAACAACTTTAGCACGAAGTAAACTTCGTCAACCGCGTCACCAATTATAACTACCCGATCACCATTATGGAAAGTACGTACACTTCACAGAATAACGTATTACATGCATGTATTGCATTATTTATAAACGCATAAACATTTTCATATTAGTGTTGTTTATTTCCTAAAGTTTCTTCCATGTGGCCATATTGGACCAGACTACATTTGTTAGCCTTCAGTTCTATTCCTGGTGGCGGCACACCCTTTCAGTGTGTTTTTTTCAATGGATGTAGGTAACTTAAAAGGAAAATAAATAAAACTAACTCTGTTCGTGAAATCGAACAGAATAAAGATTTTTGGGGCCACTGTAACGGTTTCATTCAGGTTTTTTTAGTGATTCCCGCAGAGGTGTCTCTTAATTCTTCAGACAGAAACGAAAATGGACCGATCTCAACAAAACATTATGCCTTTTGTGAGCTTTTGTAGAGTATTCTCACCCAAGGGCTGCTTATATAATCAACGCATTCAGACTCATAGCAACCCGGCAGAAGATAGATTTACCCGATGCTTGGGGACAAATGAACGGAACGGGCCATCTGGCTTACTTTACAACCTCTGCAATCTCCCTGCTTACATTACAATCTATCTCGGTCGATGAAACGAATCTAGCACATGATCTATATCTGTTGACCTCACTACTTTCATTGGGGTTACACACTACATTTTACAATGGAGCTTACCGGATCGTTCAGTCTTGGTGACCTCAGTCTTGGTGACCTCACTACTTTCATTGGGGTGACACTCTACATTTTACGATGGAGCTTACCGGATCGTTCAGTCTTGGTGACCTCAGTATTGGTTACGTCATTCTACCATATCGACGCACTTGGTATAGATTTAACACAGTGCATACAATATTGAAGTAATGTATTTTCTTGTCATTTTGAACGTTTGGCGTAACTTGCAGCTTAAAAAAAAATCTCATGCATGTCGTAAGAAGCTACTAACGGTATCTATTGTTCAGGATTGCTGACTTAGTAACCAAGTAACCAAGTGAGCAACCCAGGGCCCCGTTCCTCAAAGCGATCGTAGCGCTACGACAGTCGTAACTCCCATACTTTAACATAGACTTACGACTGTCGTAGCGCTAAGATGATCGTAACTACCATACTTTAACATAGACTTACGTCTGTCGTAGCGCTAAGATGATCGTAACTACCATACTTTAACATAGACTTACGTCTGTCGTAGCGCTAAGATGATCGTAACTCCCATACTTTAACATAGACTTACGACTGTCGTAGCGCTACGATTGCTTTGAGGAACGGGGCCCTGGCCACTAGCTATGTCATCGTATCCCAACTGCGTAGATCGATACTCATGATGCTGATCACTGGAATGTCTGGTCCGGCTTCGATTATTTACAGTCGCCATATTGCTGGAATATTGCTGATTGTTGCGTTAAAACAACAAATAAAACAAAACACCTCAACGGTAATGATATTTTCAGTTCGATCTGTCCATATTTCAAACATTACACAGACAACGAACACAACGACGTTGTTACTAATATGTTCATTGTATAAAGATGTTAGAATGAAATACTTTAGATTTGAAGGTACCCAACACAACGACAATCTATACTGTAAATGAAGGGTAAATTAGCCTTAAGAGGTCAACTGAGAGAAGATATATTAAATATTATTAAATATGAATGTATTGAGATTTAGCAAAATTATGTGGCATTAATGGCAATAGATCACAGGTATGCGAAACAAATCTGTCTCTCTAATATTTGAACTGACCTGTGTCAATGTTTGTAGCAATGTAATCATGACTCCAGGTAACCGCTTACCGTCCCGCCATGCTACAAACACATGGTTGCTTAAGTCAATATGTGGTTAAACTGATTGATCTGCCTCGCAGCTGTTTTATTTGTTCCATTGTTACCGCAAATAGTTAAAAAAACACACACACCACCACCACCACACACACCCTACCCCACCCCACCAACTCCCACCAACAACACCCTTTAGAACCTGGGGAAAATCTAACTTGATCATATCCATATAGCTGGAATAATGATGAGTGCGGCGTAAAACTAAACTCACTCACTCTAACTTCCATTTAGGCTTTCGCTTTGGAGAAAATGTCAGACCGAAGGGGCAATAATGTAGAGGGACTGTGATATAAACCCCATATTCTACACCTTCACTACAGCTGAGCTCCACTCACCCCCACCCCAATCACGATCCTGACTGCCCCCCATGTACATGTACTCAACTCACCCCCTCCCCAAAAACAATGTACCTCTAACCCAGGCCTTCTACATGAACTCTCTCCCCGACCCAACGCCTGTTTACCACCCCTCTACACTTAACGAAAAAACCAACTGACTCACCCTAACCTTGACTCAACCCTACCCCGATTGTATTTCCCCTCCCGTTAGCCACTCCCAACTTCATACCGGCCATGTTGGTTCCAGGTAACACTAGTAGCTTAACCCTATAAAGCGAGACATGCACGCCTTGGCAACGTCCGTTCATTTTACCTGATACACAAGCCTGACTTTCGAACAATAAAGCTGACCTTCGATAGGTAGAGACGGTGTAAGTTGCAGTACTGTAATGGGGGGTATACGGTGTTTAAATATATCATGAAGTAAATATAACCTCATAAGAAACTGAAATTGATTCATATATCTTACGAGTATTTAACTGACTAATCGATCCGAACCACATTTTACAGTTCAGTGACTGTCGTATTGTCCCTCGTAAACAATTATACCAAGCCTGGGCGGTGTACCAGGCATACATGGTCTTTTGTTCAAGGTCACGTGAACCAATCAGAGATGGGCATTCTTACATGCGTGTGGATAAGGGTTTTTTAGTCACGGACAACACGTCAGTGTTGATAGTCGGGCAATACCCAACTTTACAATGAGTCGGACTAAATCATCTTTTCTTACCCTATGCATATTGGTCGGGACTGTTATTGTGGTATTTATGTGGAAGAACAAGGAGGACCAATACAGGTAATTACTATATACACAAACACGGAAAATATAACGTCGCCAATGTGACGAGACCAATTTTACCTACACAAAAGTAAGGTAAGGTTCTTTTTAGAAGTTGGTGTTCAAGTAAAATGCAAATATTATGGATGACAACTTCTTCATTATTGTATGTCACAACGTTTCTGGGCTATTCCTTGCCCCTTCGTCAGGTCAAGATATATCAATGAGTATATATACTAAATGTACAAGACTGACTGACTGACTGAGTTTGGTTTTACGCCGCGCTTTTAGCAATATTCCAGCAACATCACGGCGGGGACACCAGAAATGGGCTTCACACATAGTACCCATCTGGGGATTCGAACCTGGGTCTTCGGCGTGACGAGTCAACGCTTTAACCACTAGGCTACCCCACCGCCCAAAATGTACAAGAAACCAGTGTTGCATGTATATACAATAAATTGGATAAGAAACGGGAGATGATAGAGTAAGATGTACAGATAATGGGCATGCCCTGGCGAAGGGGCAAGGAATAGCCCAGAAACGTTGTGCCATGCAATAAAGAAGAAGTTGTCATACATAATATTTGCCTTTTACACCAAAATAACCAATACTTCAAATGAGGAAAGGCCAAATCCACTACTTTCCCCATATTAGTGGACAAAAAAGTGGATTATTAATTAAAATGAATAATCATATCTTTTTTGTAGACACAAACAGGTACGATATAATATTATTTACCAATTCTTCTATTGAAACAGTGTAATTGAACATGTAGAAACACATGAACAGTGTTTACACTAAATTTCACTTCATTTAAAAAACCGAAACGGACTTTGATCAACAGCGAATGCTACAAAAATATACACTTGAACACAGTCGTCGCATTTCTTGTGGTAAATTGGCTCCTGTTAGCGGTACAGTCAGTAATTTACGGAAGCGTAGTAGGGCCACGGTGAAAATGTTTTTGGTTACTATCTCCTACGTAGGACTTAATATCTCCTACGTAGGACTTAGTATCTCCTACGTAGGAGTTAGTATATCCTAGGTGGGCATCTCCTACGTAGGACTTAGTATCTCCTACGTAGGACTTAGCATCTCCTACGTAGGACTTAGTATCTCCTACGTAGGACTTAGTATCTCCTACGTAGGACTTAGTATCTCCTACGTAGGACTTAATATCTCCTACGTAGGACTTAGTATCTCCTACGTAGGACTTACTATCTCCTACGTAGGACTTACTATCTCCTACGTAGGACTTACTATCTCCTACGTAGGACTTACTATCTCCTACGTAGGACTTAATATCTCCTACGTAGGACTTAGTATCTCCTACGTAGGAGTTAATATCTCCTACGTAGGACTTAGTATCTCCTACGTAGGAGTTAGTATATCCTAGGTGGGCATCTCCTACGTAGGACTTAGTATCTCCTACGTAGGACTTAATATCTCCTACGTAGGACTTAGCATCTCCTACGTAGGACTTACTATCTCCTACGTAGGACTTAATATCTCCTACGTAGGACTTAATATCTCCTACGTAGGACTTAGTATCTCCTACGTAGGACTTACTATCTCCTACGTAGGACTTACTATCTCCTACGTAGGACATAGTATCTCCTACGTAGTACTTAATATTTCCTGTATGAGATGATCGATATACGTTTTATGGATTAATCTGAAACGGTCGACTTAAAGCCCCAGACACGCACACAATCTCCTGTTCCACTGTTTCAGTCACTGTAAGAGTCTACAGTCATTCGTTTCATTCACTATTAGAGTCTACAGTTATGTGTTTCATTTACTGTTAGAGTCTACTATCATGTGTTTCATTTACTATTAGAGTCTACTGTTTCCTTCACTATTAGAGTCATGTGTTCAACTAACTGTTGCACATTAGTACTGTGTTGGACCGACTGTTATACTTTACTGCCTTGCGTTCAGTTTGCTCTACTATTACGCGTTGCAGTTAGTTCACTGTTATATGTTACACTTTACTATTATGCATTGGATATTTCAGAGGTCGTTGCACATGAATCATAATCTGCGTGTACGGACGTGTCTTAGACTATCGGTGGCAATCTATGTGTACGTATCCCCTTATATTTATACAAATAACTATAATGACAATTCTTTGCCTTTTTGAA